CCTACGGGCACGCCAAGGGCAGAGGAGCCTCGTCCGACACCGAGAGCGAGACCTGGCACTCGGAGGACGACGAGTACTCGGAGGATGACGAGTACTCCTCGACGTCCTGGGAAGAGAACGACAAGGATGAAAAGGTTTCCAGGAGGAGAAACAGTGGGAGAGGTGTGGCTCAGCATCCCAGCTTTTACCTGACCCGACCAAAGACATCGCCCGGTTTGCTGGAGCCCTCGGAGAACGGTGGCCCCAACCCAGCCAGCCCGGACCTGAGCAAGCAGAGAAGATCCATGGTGCTATTTAACAACATGAAGAACGAGCTGGAAGCGGCCAGGAGGAAGCTGGCTGCTTTGGTGCATCCCTTGAACAGAGCCGCTTCGGAGAGCAGAGCGCTCCCGGTGCCGCAGCCGCTCCCCCCGCGCCCCCACACCGGCCGCAGCGTCAAGTACGGGCCAGCGCCGGACGTGTCCCGCCTGGGGACCTTGGTGCCGGCTCCTCCAGCCACGGCGGCGCCGATCCCCCCGATCAAACGGCATAAGCCCACGGTGCCGGTGAGGTGTTTTCCTCTGGTAGCCCTTTGCTCGTTGCAGAGGCAGGAGGGAGGTGGAGGGGTGTCGGAGCGGTGCCGTTTGCTGGGGTCTGGCCAGCGAAACGGAACCAAAGTGGGGCTTTGGGAACACCGAACCCATGAGAAATTGCTGGCGAGTTTTTGTAAGAAGTGAAGGAAAGGTTGTTTTTTTTTTTTCTGGGGTTTAAAGACAAGCTTTGTGGGAGGACGTTTACTTGCTCTGTCCTAACCAAAACATCTCTGTTTTTCCCAACCAGCAAGGCATCTTACTTGATTTTTCAATTGAAACACTTAAAAAAACAAGTGAAAAAAGGGTTTTTTCCCTCTTTCTGCTCCATTTGCTCCCTCAAGCAGATATAAATGAGGTTTATGGGGAAATGACCCTTATAGCCACCACAGCTGCTCCTCCTGGCAGCCCCAGATGAGAAGCCAGGGCTTGAACGGAGACAAAACCAGGCTGTTTCTGCGTCCCCTCCACCGTGGGTCTCCCTACCTGTCCCCATGCTCACTGCCCTCCTTCACCCTGTTTCATAGCTGGAAAAGGCCACATCAACTGACTCCTCTTGCAATATTGGTTTCCTTCCCTGTGGCCATGTCTGTCTGTCTTTTCTTAAAAGTAGGAAACTTGAGATGTCATAGTCCTACTAGAAATACAAATTGTTTAATGATAGAGACAGTGATACGAAGTGATGGAGGAAATATTGCCGTCCATCACCTTAAATCTGAATTGCGCCGTGTTTTTGAAGCAATCACACCTCATCCAGCTACTTGAGAGATTTAGGAGATGAATTGCTGAAAACCTGCATTTCAAGCCATGAAAGGCTGGGTTGTTTATAGGTTGTTGCATTGGATATAGGGTAATTAAGGAAAGATTAAATGCTCGTGTGTATTTGTACATCACCCACCCTGCCTGGCTGCTGTTACGCTCATGCTGAGTGCTAAACCCTCAACCCCAGGCAAGTGCATGCATGGGCAAGGAAACCTAAATTCACCTGATAAACCTCACGGGCGTAAATGGGGCACCAGGAGAGCAGCCTCCTGCCCGGGCTGCTGCATCGCCTCTCCGTGGGCAGCGCTGCCTCTTGCTCGGCCGGTCAAGGACAAGCGTGGCATTCACTGCTGGAGGCACGGCCAGGATTCCCAGGGAAAGGGAGCTGCTTTTGCTCACTTTGCCCCGTGAACCCTCCTGTTTTCTCTGATCTGTATCTATAGCTGAGCCTGGATTTAATTAAGTCCGGTCTCCTTTGATGCCCAAGGGGGTTTGTTCCATCTATGGGAGTTTTCCTTTTCTGGAGAGAGCAAGGTAGCTGCCGGGCGTTCGAAAGCATCGCTCCAGGCTGGGTTGTTTAGCATCGCTTCAGGAGCTGGAGCACGAAGACCAACTGCTGTTTCTTTTCTTGCAGTCCCTCAGCCCCTACGCCTGCCTCCCCCCTGCCTCCGCGCCTGCGCGGCCTCTCAGTTCCCACAGATCCCAGCCGGACTCGGCGGCTGACCTGCTCTCGGCGCTGAGCCAAGAGGAGCGAGACCTCATCGAGCCCGTGATAGCCTTGGGCTACCCCACCCGCAAAGCCATCCTCACCCTTCAGAAGACTGGAAGGCAAAGCTTAAGTCAGGTTGGTGGAGCTGGCACGGTGCTTTTGGTAAAGAAAAACTGGATTTTCGTGGAGAAAAAGATGGCTGTCTTGCGCGGGGTGGGCTTCTGATGGCCTTGGGTTTCCCACTTTGGTATCAGACTTCAGTTGACAGGGTTTTCCATGAGGTCACACGTTTGTGCTTTTGCTGTAATGAAATAGCAGTGAGTCGCCCTCAGCTTTTCAGCAAGTAATAACGGCCGGGTAACGTTATCTGTGCGATCGGTTGTATGGAGCATGGTGTCCTTCTGAAGTACAAATTTTGCCCCCGTATATGGAAACTTTTTGCACATCATTTTTTCCCAGCTGTTAGATTCATGTGATTATTGCCATGGCTCATCCTGTCAGAGCGGGATTGTACGAATACCTCGGGGATTTGTCTGGGCTCTCTCCAAAACACACGTTCCTCGTGCTGGAGCAACCAGGGAGTCCATGCAAGCGTTGTGGCTGGGTCGCAGAGCTCTTTTCCTGAGGAACCCTCTGTAATAACCTGGAATTTATTGAGAATAATTAACATACAACCTCTTCCTACCTGTGGTATCTGAGTACATCACAGCCCGCTGTGCTGCATCCTGATTCCCAAGGTCTCTGCTTGTCCAGACAAACGCGTCATGATCCAGGTGGGCTCAGAGCATCCGTGCCACGAGGAATGCTGCTGGCCCTGACCCCCTCGGCAAGCTTGGGGCTGGACCTGCCCATCCCAATGGAGGGTTTATAGGGCTAAATTATCCAAGTAGCTCTTGCAGAGAGCAAAGAGGCTTTATCACAGCTTAGCAGGAGGGATGTCCCCCGGGCTGTTGTGCCAGGGAGCAGGAGCAGACCCCCGGGCAGGGGTGTGAGCAGGCACGGCACCAAGTAGCCGCTGTGGGGTTCCAGTCTCCTTCCCGGGGAGCAGCCTGTGCTGCGTGGGCCGGCTCTTACCCGTCTGGTGTGGGTGCACGAAGCTGCTATGAGGCTGAGTCATCCCGCAGCTTCTGGCTCCTTCCTGAGTCACCCCCGGCTGGACCAGCCTCCCCAGCCCCTCGCTGGTGTTTCAGGCGAGCGTCGCTGCAAGCCGAGGTGGGAAGGGAAGCTTGATTTTCTTCAATTCATAAAGGTTCCATCTAGGCAGAGGGAGATGGGCAGAGCCCAGCCCACGGTGTTTGCATGCAGGGGTGTCTTGTAGCAACTGCTGTCTCAGTGTGGAGGAGCAGCTTATGAAGGATGGAACTGGGTACAGTCTGATCCCTTCTGTATAAACGCCGGGACTGCTGTTCCCTTGGAGAAGGGATTAATGCACCGAAATACAAGGTCTGCCTTATATCCTGTGCCTTCTTCACCAGCAGCTCCCATCTTGCCCATTTATGCCCAATACAGTCAAGATAAAACATAAAGCCTGGCCCTTCATGCGTCTCTTACAAGTACAAAATTACCAAATTAGGCTAAAGCTTCCTGGAAAATACGTTTCAACTCAAGTTAAAAACAAGCGCTGTGGGCGCTCGTCATTGTGTGCTGGTGCCACGTGGGATTTCAGTGTGTGACAACGACAGCTTCATCCGTGAAGATTGATTGTGGTACCAGATGGTAGCCAAAAAATGGCTTTTATTTCTTTGCAGTGTCGAGTCAAACTGGCAGAGCCCACTCTGGTGGAGAAGGCAAGTCTGCTGCCTTCAGGAAGCAAGGCCTTCTCAGTTTTGGTGGAAGAGCCTCTGTACCAGGCTCGAGCAGGGTTAGTTGCCCCAGTGCACCAGAGGTTCGTTATCTAGGGTGCCGTGGCCAAGGGCTAAACCAAAATACATCATTGCATTTGTGTCAATGATCATCGATCAATCCAAAATGCATCGTTGATCCCTGGTGCTCTCAATGTACCCGTGAGCTGAGATGTGACAGGTGGCTACAGAGGGTCAGCGTCATCTCCCCAGATCGCTGTAAGCACTGGGTTCAGAGCGGGGCGTTCACCGTGGGACACGGCCCCCCGTACCAGTCACCTCCTGGCCGTCCCACGGATGGGGAACCTCTTCCTATGGACTGCTGGACTTTTGTGAAGTCAATAACACAGCGAAATACATGCTCAGCTGTGCTTCCATAAGGTGCTCCTGCCCCTTTCCTCCTCCAGAAGAGCTCGCTGTCTTACCCCAAGCAACAATCTAGATCTTCAGGGCTTCCTACAAGCCTTGCATAAG